AGGTTGCGGCGCGCGATTTTCTCAGCTAAGAAATGCATTACAAAGAATAAAAGTCGTAAAGCGGGGGCGAGGAAGACTCGCTTCTTTCTCCGCGGAAGCGTTCTCGCTTTGCACGCGGGCAAGGTTTAATCCGTGGGATAATATAGATACCTTTCTGCGGTGGAATTCTTTCTTGCATGGCAAAACGCAACGAAATTGAACCATTTCGACGGTTTATATCGCTTTACGCCGTCAGAAATTTTACTCTCCAAAGCTCTTAAAAATACATTTAACGATGCCGGTAGCGCCGCAAAAAAAAAAAAAAACATAATTACTTGAAACGCGAGATTCATGCGTGACGTCACGAAAATAACTTCGTTGAAAATATTTTCGAAAACATAGTTTTAAATATTGTGAAGTAATTAATATTTCCGCTTATGTGTGAGAAAAACGCTTTGATTATTTAAGCTTTTGCATAAACGCATTTTATGCAATTAATTATCCATAGCAATGAAAAGTGTTATCAGCCAAAAACGAACGGTATCTAATTTTTACATAGGAAGTATTTTATTGTCTCAATAATATATAACTGCAAGCTATTATATATATATACACTTTGTAATAAATTTATTCTCCATTTTATAGAGCAGCTTCCTTCGCAGACCTCCTCCGGCACACTTCATTAAAAGGAAATTAAACGCTCTCTTGGGAGCGACAAAAAGCAAAAAGACAATCTAAGACATGTAATTTATTCTTCTTCTCTTGAAAAAGATGTCTTATTCTTTCTTTCAGTGTCGTGAAGATATATCGAAGCGATAAGTATCTGAGAACACAACTCTTGTGTATGACAATTTAATAAAATTAAACGTAAAAGTGTTTCTTTGAAGAATCGTGCGAAGAACCAACTCATTGTTAACAAACGCGACGAAGCAGAATCTTATTGTCTACAAACGTGAAATACGACTTCTACGTGTTTTCTTTCTTTTTTTTTTTTTTTTCGATCAAAATTTTGCATTTTAAACAAACAAATTTCTACAGTCGCAAACACACGTCTGTTATCGATTTCTGTGAGAACACATAATGGAAAACACTTTACCAGTGTTCGCCAAATATTTTACGTTCAAATTCGCGTGAATTTTTCACCTCGAATCTCGCGCATCTCATTCCACATATGATCTTCTGCTGACTCTTAGTTTTTTTCAGTAACGCTGAAACGTAATCCCTCCCACGAACATTTGTTACCGGCAAGTGAAAATTTAATCAGGACTGTGCGACGAATGCAGCACTAATTACTCCATTTTCTGTTAATTATTCCGAGCTATGTGGTAATCCAGATTACTCCGGGAGATAATATCAGGCTAATTTCGATTTTGGCAAGCCACGCTTGCACACGCCGTGATTGCAACTTTAATGTAAAAAATCTAGATGTGTAATTCTGATTAAACAAAAATACAGGAGAACACGAGTACAGTGGTATTTTAATATATGGGTTTTAATAAACTCATTTATCGAAAAGTTTTTCTTCATACTATTATATATTCACTAAAAAAAAATATTTTAAGTTTTATTATTTAAGAAATATATAAAATATTTTCTTAGTAAAAAAATAGAGATCCAAATGGACTGGCTAGTTTATATAGTTACAGATAGTCAAAGTTTCACACTCGAGAGAGCTGTGTCCCGATTTAAAAGGACACGCAAAACTTGTACTTTTAGGTCGCACAAATTTTTTATTTGGATTACGACTTAAAACTCATAACTCCGCACCGCGGCGAAGATAAACGTTGCTATTTCTTTGCCGACTGTATGTATATTTGCACCGCGACTGGTACAAATACAACTTTTTCGTACGGTAAAAATATTTAGTTATAGCGTTGACAAACAGGCGGGACACGAGTGCGCGACATGAAAAAGTCCATTTCTGTACAGTTTCGACCAAAATATTTTTTGATACACCTGTTTAAAATGATAAAAAAAAATCTTTGTTCTAATCATATAAAAAAAAAATACTGTCATAGTCTTAATTTAGTCATGATTTGATTTATTTATTCTTATGGGTGGTCTCGCCCCTAATTTGTGAGATACACTTCAGACTTTTCGATGGGACTGTATTTTAGTTAAAAACGCGCGGTTTGAAAAATTGTTATTATCCGCGCTGCTAAAACATCGCTTACCATTGTGTATTGAAACTTTTCGTCGTTATGCACGCCCAATGTCGCCGCGGCGATAAATTGTGTCCCGAGTACACCGGCAAAGGCACGAGAAGGGGCCGTGTAACTCACGCACCATTTCTCCACGACGACTCGACAGAGTCATATCTAGTTCATGAATAGTTTTATATTTGCTATGAATAAATTCATGAAGGGGAACCGCGCGCGCGCGCGCACGTTTGTAAACGGGAGAACGTCGAGAAATCAAAGTCCCATCGGCTTTGTTTGCCCCCGAGCGGTATATCTGAGTTTTTCACTTTAAAGATTTTATTTCAACACGAGTGCAAGTGTTGCAGTCGCTGAAATGCTCGTAATCGAGATGTAAACTTACTATATACATATATATATATATATATAGATACGTACAATCTATGTAAGTCGTAATAAGAAATAGATGGGTGTGCAAGTTTTTTGTTTAGAACAAAATAAAAATAAAAATAAAAATACATATCAACTGAAAAATATCGCGCAATTCGGGTAATACAAGTTTTCACATCTTGTATATATTATATTTCGCGAGGATAGGAATTTGCAAGTTACATGGGCGTTGAAGGCAGTGAGAACGAAGTGAGAAAAACGTCGACGCGAAGTTGCGAAGCTAACCGAACGAAGTTTTTCCTGAGACAGGAAAAAATCGTGATTCTTAATTACGGGCCAGAATAAATTCTACGGATGACTTTCGAATCGTTTAACGTTAATTATGAAATATACGCAACGGTGAAATAAGCTCGCGCATTTTACATTAACGACTAAGAGACTTGAAAGCTTTTTGCCGGGCGCGTAAAGTTAAGAGAAAAAAAATTAACACGCAGAGCGAGAAATAGTCTCGTTTAATTCAAGTCACTTTTTGTAACTATAAATATAACAACGTTTACGCATGTGTAAATACGTGCGTAATAAATAAAACAAAATATACACAACTAATGATTAAGAATTAACCGATAAGATTTTTTTAAATCAAACTCCTGTTGTGTTCGAAATTAGACTTACCTCTACTCGCTGTGCGAAAGCTTCAAAATATTTATTTTTTCAGGTAAGGAAGGATACAAAAAAAAAAGCGACTTTACTTTAAAAGTACTATATTTATAATCCGTCTCTTAATAGTCGTACTATAGAGATACCTTATATATATACAAATGTGTACACTCTATACATTCGGTTCTATAAGTTATTGAACGTTTTACACATAAAACTGTACACAAGCGGGGATTTCTAGTTCTTCTCTTCTCGGATTAAATCCTTGCTTTGATTCTTTAGTCCTTAATTTGTGTCAGGACTCCTCTCGTATATATAGTTAACACACGCGTGACTCATCAATCACTCTCGCGATCTCATTTAATTGACTAATTTAATTAACCGATCTGGTCGTAAGTACTGCAGTCTGCGCACGTACGGTCGTTAGTTTTTTTTTTTTTTTTTATTTCTTCGGTATACGCAATGTGTATATTCTCTTCCCACGTAACTTGCGCGTGCCATTAATTAACAGAAATAAATACAACGAGATAACGTAAGAACAAATCGTCACGCTCGTCTCAACAAAGTGTATACAGATATTGACGTCAATATCGTTGCGTCGGATATGTATACGGCTATACATATGTACAAAAGTTACTTTTTTTTTCTTTTTTTTTTTTTCGTAATGACGTTAAAGAACTTCCTCTGATTTTTTCCTCTGTATCTTTTTTTTTATTTCACAAAAGAATCATCTCACGTTTGCTTGAGCATCAGATTCTCGTTCGTCAACACACGCACGTATTTACAATCGTCTCGACAATTTTCTTCATTAAGCAAGATTATCAGGTAATAACAGTAATAACATTAACAACAAGTAAAATAACATACAATACGTTATATCTTCCAAACATTTTGTATATTACGGATTTATAACAGAGAAACAAATCAATTATTACGAATTAAAAAACAAAAGTCTAATCTTACGTATTTGCTTTTTTTATTTGTATATATTTTAATTATAAATTAAACAGACAGTTAAGAAGTAACTGAACAGAACGAGACACAGTTCAGTAAATAAATATAGACATAAATAATCTCTGATAGATGAGCAACACAAAAGGTTGCAAAAGCTACAATTCATTTATTGAACAAAAAACACAGTTTTAACAATAATTACTACCGTATTTCATAGCACACCTTAATTGTTTTAACAATTAATTGTAAAGTAACAGAAAGAAAGAGAGAGAGAGAGAGAGAGAAAAAGAGAGAGAGAGAAAGAGAGAGAGAGAGAGAGAGAGAAATGACGTAAAGTGATGATTGTTAACACTTTGGGAGGAAGCAGCACGTGGAAGAATAACAGACAGTTTAGCCGGATATATACCATACCACCCATCCGATCTAGTGGTCTGCAAATAGTGTTTACGAAGGCGCTGCGCAAACTCTAAAGCCGTTGTGTACATGCTTGCAGTATATCAGACCACGTGCGATTCCAGACAATTCTCACGACATTCGTAAAATAAATTCGTAACATTGCCACTTGTGTGTTCGATAATTCACCGGAGTATTTGCGCCTTTGCCATCGGATGAAAATAAATATCGCACATTTGTTCAGAATCAGTAAACAGAGTTTGGCGTCAGTTGTCGATCGAAAATGCAGATTCGGCACGATCATACGTGCGTGCATATATACGTATGTGTGTATGTGTGTATGTGTGTGTGCGCATTACGGACTATAATAAATGCATTTCTACCTGCTGACCGAGCGCGCGCGCAGATTCGCACGTTTTACGCAGGATTCACCTCACGTGGAAAAATAGTGTCCTACATTGTCGTCGTATATATATATATATATATATATATATATATACGCGTTGATACATCTCGTCGTTTATTTCCCTCCTGGCGCGCCTATCGAACCGCGTTATAAATGATATGAAAGATTAAGAATCTCTATACTCAACCGCGCACGCTCAAGATTAAAACTCTCGGATTCATAGAGTCAAACATCGCGTTTTAACTTCCCGCGTTAATCTTGACCCGATTCGCAACTCCGGATGGATTTGGGAAGAATTATCGGAAACGTTTTCTAGTTTGCTGCGCGTGGGTGTTGCTAAAGAAGAAGTATCGATACACTTCGAACTACGTGACTGGAATAACGGGCGAATCCAAGAGAACACACACACGGTGTTTTATGAATCCGATAGTTTTATCGCGTGTTTGTTCCAGATTTCTGCTTCTCGCGTTCTGTCTACCGAGGATTCGGGAAAGCGAATTGCCTATAGATGATCGAAGTAATTAGTCGTTCCTTTACTTTTGGTTTCGTGGTTTTCGAGAAAACTCCGGCCAGTCACTTTACTCGCGTTTTCCCCGCGGCTAAGTGGGAAAGATCGCGGGACCATCGTAGGAGTTTGTTTGTTCTCTCTCGGCTGACAGGTGATTAATAGCTCTCAGTTCCCGCCTTCTCGCTCTCCTCTTTTTGGGCTGGTGTACTATGTGGTACGGACGAATGAGGTTTCGTTCCCGATATGTTACGTCCCATTAAACCCCGCGAGATTTCACACACAAAAATCGATCGATCCGCGGCCTGGTAATCGATAAAGCGGGAGCATTGTTTCGCGATACAACCGCCAGTACTAATTCGAGGAAGTTATTCAAACGTTCGAAAGGAAGCGTGAGGCGGTAGGAATTGTTTTCTACTATCATTACCTCGCGATACATTACAAAACGAAGTAGAAAAGCGATTCGGAATATTTATTACACGAAGATTAATACGAAGAAATTCTCGGAACGTGTCGTTTTCGCTTTTTGCTACAACTATATGCAGTTTCGTGTTTATAATATACACTTTGAAAATAAGTAATTCCGACGCAATATCGCGCATCATCCGCATTAATATAATTTTTAGAATATCAAGCATACTTTCGAAGAATATTACACGTAATATTCGCCGACGTAAAAACTTCTCTCTTTTGCGGATGAAAAACTTTATTTAAAAAAAAAAAAATAACAAGACGAGTAAAATACTATACGAACATATTTGTTTTTTTTTTTTTTTATACTTGAAAGCGCAAGTTCGAAAACAAAGATATTCTTTCGTTTCTTTTCTCGGAATCGACGACACGTTTCTCTCTTTCCTTATCTCTTTTTTTTTTTTTTTTTTTGTTCTATAATCGCGAATGTTTCAGCAGAGGTGTGACTCGATTTCAATCGCGGTACTATCCCAAAGTCTACGCTACGATACTATTTTTTTTTTTTTATTTTTTTTTATTTACGACTCGTTCGTCGCGCAGATAGCGTGAAAAGGCAGCGATTGTCATCCACGATCATCGTTCGTACGTGGCGGAAAAAATGCGGATTTCGAATTTTGCTTTCCGCAAACTTCTCTTCGCATAATGTCGCCACACGGAGTGTGGTCACCTTAACTCGAACCGCTCGAATGGAAGCGGCAGAGTGTGTTTCTTAATTTTATCTTCTTTGCTATATATAGAAAACGCGCGTTTTCGACTCGCCCAAGCGAGTCATTATCGATCTTACTTGGATCTCACTAGCAAACACACCGCAGACACGGTTATATACATGATTGATGTACACTCTTTTTATCGCCTCGGTAACGATGCAGCTAACGTCGAGCAGCTCGCGCTCGATAAAGTTGGCGTTGTTCCTCAAGAAGACAGCGCGACACTCACACGCTAAACACCGATAAAAAAAATTGCTTGTGATGTCATACACGAGCCGTAAAGCTAAACACTAGAAAGGTATGGAAGCTCCGATCTCTTGGTCCAACGATCTTTCCATCATGTCGATCGATCGGACGACGCATCGGAGACCGCCGAGAGATGATCGGGAGCCGTCCAGCGAGCTCTGAGTGCCGACTGTTCTTCGCGCCGGTCTCCCGAATCGTCTAGCTGCTCGGTTGGGCCAAGTGCGATACACAGGATCCGTGCTGCATCGTTCGAAGGCGGTCCAAATAATCGACGATCGCCGCGGCAACGGATGCGTGTGCGACGGACATCCGCAATGTTGCCAGGACAACGACGGTGTTCTGCATTTGAACACAGGTACCCTGAAACCCTCCGGTGGTCGCAAAATTGGCAAATCGTTCAGCTTCAAAGCCGCTTTTGTTTGGAGCCGCGGTCTGGAGATCAGCGAGTCGCCGGTTGTCATCCGATCAACGCAACTTGCCGGATGCGGAGCGAAATTACCGTCCGCTCGGGATTCCGCACTGATCTGATCGATCGATTCTTCCACTTGAGCAGCGAGTTTCTCACTATGCTTCTCTTTGGTCGAATGAATAGAAATGAATAAGTCGCTTGTCTCAGACGGCTGGTTGGTTTTCGACGAGTCGCGATCACAGATATTCTTCGACGCGAGCGACTTCTCGCGATCGATCGCGTTGCGACACGTGGATCAGGAGGAAAAGTTGGCCTCCGCGGTCGAGCTCGTTGAGACGTCGTCATCGAGAGAGCTCTGCGTGGCGACGGTCACTTTGTTCCCGCTGTCGCATCGAATTGAATTATCTTGACGGGGATGGCGTCTCTTGTAAGGTTCCCAATCCCCAAGACCCCGGCGTCAGTGCGTCACGATCACATCAGGCGCGCTTTTTGTGCTCTCTATGCTAAACGGCCGTCGCTGATCCACCTCGATCACAGCTTCGGCCCGGTATCTCGGATCCGGCGTGGGTTGAGGCTGACGTTTGGTGGGCGTGTTGCCGGAAGACTGTTGCGACGTGCTGGAAGTGTTGTTACTAGAACCATGTCTGGATCCGTACATGGAACTGCCATATCTCTCGCCGGAGCCCACGGTAGGCTGCCGGATTAAATTAGGCGACTGTCGATAAACACCGCTTGAATCCCTGCTGGGTTTCGGGCTCTGGAACCTTTGGTAGGAAGGATAGTCCAGCTGTTCCGGATACTGGACGGTCTGTGACGCAGATATCGGGTAGCTGGACTCGTGCGTGGACCAGCCAGGTGGCGCCGGTATGGGATTGTGTTTCGGACATATGCCCATACTGCCGTCCCGTCCGCGGGACGCTGGACTGCAACCGGAGCACTGGGAGATGCTCTGCGGCTGAGAACCCGGTTGGGACGACTGCGAGCTTGGCTGCGAGGACTGGCCGCTCGGATGCGAACTCTGCTGCGACGTCTGCGAATGTGGCTGATGATGATGATGGTAATGATGATGATGATGAAAATTGGTCCCGTTCTGAGCGCTGGGTGCGCGTACGCCGAAGGTCGTAAAACCGAGCTGCATCGGCGTGTCCGATAATCGAGGCTCAAAAAGGCTCTCTCTGGTCTGACAGCAATTGTCGCGCGTTTCCGGTTCCTCGCTGGACTCCTGCAAACGTTCTTGCGTGGCATTGCTCACGTTGTTGCTCTGGTGAATGTCGGTGATATCGCCCGCGTTGTAAGTCATCTCGAGCACAAGATCCTTCGTGTACTCTTGCGGTATCATAGTGGTAGGTGGCATTAGTTCCTTACTAGGCAGGACTTCCAAACTTGGCGACTCACTGCCGTGATCGCGCAAATCTGTCCTTGAAGTTGAGATCGGACACGACGTCGACTTTCGACCCAGTTCGTCCAAGCGATTCTCCCGAGATTCTCTCTTGTGCGCCTGCAAAAAGGCGAAAGAAACAGGTCGCATGATAAAGGAACAATATTTCTTGATTAATTCTGTAGCACGATGCTATTTCCTGATTGTACTTATTGTTGAAACGGTATAGCATTCAAGAAATCTGCGTGTGTTTTTTTCATCTGTGTTTTTCATCTGTATATATAAATCAAAAGTTTATATGCAGCTCATTTTATCTTGGCTTTATTTCGACGAGTTTATTGCGCAAACAAAAACTAACTGTTTACGTAAGACAGCGATGAAAAAACACACGAGAATAAATAACAACGTTTAAATAATGTATTTTATCACCATGGTTATTTTTATATATTTTATTTTGTATATATTTTACTTGCAAAGAGAGCACGTTTACTTGTTTAAATGTGGAAAATTAATTCTGTCACGTATAAATAAAATACTTTGAAAAATGACAAAGTGAACGTATAGAGAAGAGATTGTAAAACTGAGTATATTAAATAATACGTATATAAAACGGTACATATATAAACTTGCGAAACTTCATTGTATAGTTTCCATGTTTATATTATGAATATCAATGCAATAAACAGCTTTTATATTAATCGCTCCATAAATCAATATTAATCGCTTATAGCGCTCAATTTAATTTGCATATTAATGCAATTATCGTTAAAATAAGCTTAATTCTCTTAAAATCGAAGCAAGATTGCGTTGTTTATAACAAATGTTTAAAATTACTGACAAATTAGATAATAACGTAAATAATAAACCAATAATAAATATTTGTGACTATTTTAATAATAATTAAAAACTCAATAACAAATGCCATAATGTTTCGCGTACACAAACGTAATATATGATTAAAATACCGCTAGATTATCTTGTAATATTGAAACAAATTCAAATGTATGTCGCAACGTGAAATATAGCGGAATAATAATTATTAGAGAAAATGCGATTTTCACTCTGAACAGTTAAAATATGACGTTATCCTTTTACGGTATAATTAAATAAATGAAAGTAATTTTAAATAGCACAATGAAAAATAATTGGCTTAATTTTGTCAGTGAAAAGATTCGAGGCAACTGTTGGATTTAAAACGTTCAGAGCAAATGACTGCGACGGTATGACACCGCGGCAACCTTTTAAAGAGCAGCGAAATGCAAAATTTTCACGATTGTTCGCGAACACGTGAGAAATGTTTCCGCGATAAATATCTTCTCTGTTTCTCACACTGTAATAATAACGGACAATAAAAAGAAATCATCGAAGTAATGTCACGTCACTGAGAAACCTATAAATTCCTGCTGGTTTCACTGAAATATTATACGGAGTCGTAAAAAGCAGTAAAGCTCTTACCGTTGTAACGTACGAAAGAATGCGCGTGTAATTTTCAATAAAACTCTCCAACCACAAGTCTTCATCGTAACACACAATTCTATGTAATTCGAAATACGTATTTATAAAATACGTATTATTACAAAGAAAAAAAATTGCGAACAATTCTTATAAAAATATATATCTTCTGTAAAATATAGCGGGAAATTCTGGTGTGGTATTTCCGCGCGGAGAGATCTCGTTTTTCGATCTCTCTTCGTCTATATTATATTGAAAACTCGAGATATACGGAAGAGCGTTCATCGGAAAAATAAAATTCACTCACCTGGATTATACGATGATCTTCGATGAGCTTTCGCACGCAATTGAAAACGAGGGCAAAGCTCATGCCAAACATAATTAAGCAGAAAACGACGAGGATTATGACGATGTGCTGCGAGTCGATCAACCGTGACTTCTTCGTCTGCAAATAACAAAATTGAGAGCGCATCTTTTATATATTCTAGTCGTTCCCCATCTTCAAATATGTTATTCGAATAGTGATAAATAATGATTTTGATAGAAAATTAAAATTACAAGTTGCGAGTTTATTAAAACAACGTTTTCAAAACAGACAAGAAATGAATTGGAAAGCACAAGACGCAATCTTCTACTCTATGTTGAGACCAATTTTTTGTGCGACGTAGACATGATCTGTCAACAGACAGATGACATTTCGAGATTTGCACAAATTTTCCAAGTTGCGTTCAAGACATCGCGCGACACGACGCGAGACACCTTCTTATCACTGTGTTACCCTCCCCCATTCTTCCCGACATTTACTGTCTACGGAGGCGCTAAATGCCTTCGCGAAATTTCAAGAGAACGTTATATACGTGTTACGCAGGAAGAGGATTTAAGCTCAGAAGAGGAACTTGCGAAACATCGCGGCGCGTAGAATGCACAAAGCAAGGAGGATCGACGCGATCCATCTTCGTCCCTCCCTATCTCTTCGCTCTCCTGTCTCTTGCGTGCCATCCTTTGTCTCCTAGAATGACGACGCCACTGCGGATTTTACTTGTTTGCTTCTTGTTTACTCAAGTGGTTTTGCAGCGCGAATATTGAGAGCGTGAGAGTGAGACGTTGGAATGCGTTCTCTCTTATATCGTATTTATGTGTGTAATGTAAATACACAATATTTGTTAATAACAGTATACATTTAACACAAATAAGGCAATATTTTCTTTTACAACGCAAAAAACTGACTACAAAAAGAAATTATTTCCTAAAAAATCTTTCCACCCAAAAAGAATCATTTTTTTGCACGTGATACGGCACGCTGTACATAGACACTGTGGGTTTTTTCACATTCTTTCAATATTGTTCGTATTTTTCTTTGTTCTTTCTCAGTTTGAATATTTCTATTGCTACCCGCATTGCTGTGTGTATTTGCATTTCGGATTTTCCAAATTTGCACACACATTTTATTGAACCGATTCTCGCATTTCATAAGCATTTCGAACGCATTTCCTTGAAGGATTAAAACAAGCTTCTCCAACATGAGAACTTCGAGCTTTAGCTCAAAGCGTTGCAAATTTGCATACTTACGCAAGTAGTGCTGCAGTTAAATCATCAGATATACCATAGACGGCGAGAACAAGACTCCAGTTAGGTTATAAGACGAGCTGAGATAGCGAACTTTATAATTGTTCGCAGGATTTTCATGCGAACTCAATTGTTCTGAGAAAACACATATAGATGTTCCACCCTTTCCTGAAGGTATCCAATTTCACTCTGCACTAAATCTTCTCTTCGAGTGCCAATTAAATAAATCTTACCTACCCATTAAAAACTTCCAACTAACTGACTAAATATAAATCTCGCTTTAAGAAACATTAGCCTTCTTAAACATTTATATGAATATATATATATGCGTACACTGTGTCCTATAAATTTTATATTAAATCTGTGCGAAGAAACATATTATACATTGTTAATTATTATTGCTTCCGATTTGATTTTTGTTTTCTTTTCTTTGTAAATAATATATGCATGGTGCAAAATTGTTTGTGTGCAATTAAGCAGCCGCACGCCGCAGGTGATCGCGCAGCCTATCTCGCGGTGTCGGTAATCACATATCATATCGGAAGCACGTGACTGCGTGGAAACTTCACACGCGGAAAGTCCTGCGGGTGTATGTATTATATTATGCGACACACAATGTACATGAGTCACGTTATGTATTCAATAGTCACATAGTGCGATAACTAATTTCAACGGACTGGTTCTCTTGTCCGACACCGACGCGGAATAACGTTTGCCAACAATATTGCCACTCGTGCGGGTCCGGGAATGCGACATTAAATTTTGGAGTAATTTATATCGGACGTCACATGTTGTTATCTGCGCTGTCTACACGATAGAATTCGAAGAGGAACGCCGCTTCCTTTTCTCCCTCGTCTTCGCGTATATTTCATCGCGTCTCGGTAGTCGCGCTGTAATTTGCTGGCTTTTATCTCGCACGCGGCTTCTTGGTTGAAGTAATTACGCCTTAAAGTGACGAAAAGTCACGTCCGGTTTAAAGTTAGATTATACTAGTATATATCATGTAATTTACATATGTGCGTGCGAATAAGAATATATAAAAAAAACAGTTGAATCATCACGACTGTGCGGCGTATTTATATTAGGTCTACCGGAAAGTTCTGTCCGTTTTTGGAACAAAACAAAATACAAATTTTTCTTACCGTCAATAAACTTTATTCAATAATATAATTGCCATTGTTATTAATGATTTCTTGCCAGCGTGAGGGCAATTTGTATATCCAATTTTTGAAAAATTAAGAAAAATTTGTATTTTGTTTTATTCCAAAAACGGACGGAACTTTCCGGTAGACCTAATATATCCATCGTATATACTTTATTAGCTGAGAAAGTTCTCTGTACGATTGTGGGACAGTCACGTCGTCGCGTCGCGGGAAACGGCAAATCGCGGCGAACGACAGAGGGAAGCAAGCAACGCGTGACGCGAGCACCCACGAAGCGCTGCACCCGAGAGAATCCACCTGGCGCGCACAAGCAATTACGAGGAACGCGCGCGAGATATTAAGTCTCTTTTTCCCCGCGTACGCGCGCGCTATTATTACGCGCGCATCTCTCTCGGCAGTGGGATTTTTCGGGCGTTATTTCCTAAGTCACTCTCATATCTCGCTCTCCGTACTCTTCATCCTTTTCCCGCTCAAAGGAGAAGTTAAGCCCGTAATGCCACCTTCCCATATGCGAGCGGCACGAGTAAACGGTTGACAGAGAGAGGAACGGGAGAAGAGAGGGATTGCACAAGCGCGCGGATGCTTCCTTCTGCTTCCGCGAGTTCTGAGTGGTTTATTGTTATGCTCATACGCCCAGAATCATTGCACGTTTTCGCGAATGCGTCCTCACTCGCCGTTGTGCACTGCGGAGAGTCCGCCGCAAGTGACACCCCCTTCCCGGCTTCTCCTCCGCACCGGCAGGAAGCTGCGCGATAAATGTCGCGGGCCGGGATTTAGGTGCTTCTTTTGGTCTCGCCGTGTAATTGCGCGAGTAGTATTAAGATAATTAACGAGGAATGTGCGAGAACGCTTCTAGTTCGCGAAGCGCTCCGAGTAATGAAATTTTGCACAGCGGCTTTCTTAATTATCTTACTCGATGGTTTTGCTCGTTTGTTGCATGCAAACATTTGTATTCGGAATAATGTAAAGTTCTAATTAATTTCGATAAAGCAAAAACTTTTTACGAGATTGATGTGGTTGAGAAAAAATTGTGGTGTTGGTTTTATAAAAATACGAAAGTAATTTATTACGTTATTCTGTCTTATTTGAGAAAAAAAATGTTGACAAGAATGATTCATCATACTATAATCATGATTCGCCAAACGCTCGCAAAACACGTTTAATTTTTAGCTTTTTGCTTTTGTTTCGATATTGGCTATCGTTTGCGAATGACTGGATTTATGACGATTGATCGACAGATCGTGATCTGAGTTTAGGAGCGTCTCGAAATATATATTTTACCTCTCACCATCACGATCTTCAATCTGCCAAATAGTTCGTGTAATACATTGTTATTGCGATTGTCAATGTTTCTAATTTTCCAAAAGTAAGTTCGACGTAATGTCGGTTCATTCTTAGAAATTTCCGTGTGATCGCACTCTTCACGTTGTTAATACGAAAGCGAAAAATGTGCCGAACCTATCTACGTAAAGTGACTTACATCGATTTGTTCGGCGAATAGCGCATGTTTTCATGTGATGGGAAATTACTGTATTATTCTCCAGCAAGAGAAATATATTCTTGTCTTTCGTCTGTGAACAATAGCTGCGTATTGTACAAGCTGTCGGGGAAATGAACAAGGTTATTCTAAATATTTCCGCTATTTACGGCATCGCATTCGATATCAGTAAATGCCCAAATTTATTCCGACATTCTGTGAATACCCGATGGATGTTACGTTAAATCATCGAATACGAATTGAGGTAGAGATAACTCACGTGTGAAATACCTCATTTGTGCAAAATAATTATGCATCTCATTTGTCAATTGTCATGTTTTAAATTAAAAAAAAAAAGAGAAGAAAAAAAGATCGCAATCGCGCTTTTTTGTTAAAATTATAAAAAGAATAAATTCAAAAAGTTTTTAGACCTCGTGAAGAGATCGATTAAAATAGAAAAGGGCGAATACGAGGCGAAAAACACAGGACGTTAGTGCGAATCAACAAAATTTATTCAATGCCAAACGTTTCGATCACAAATTTCGATCTTCATCGGTGGCAACAACGTAACATTAAAAAATTAGGTTGTATATCAGCACATTTTGTTACAGTTGATTGAGACGAGCAAGAGCTGATTTAGTACTTTAGTTATAAAAAGAATAAATTGCGCAAAATAATGTATCGCAAATTAAATTATACATCAAGAGATTGTTCGAACTAACAATTTTTAAAGTAAAAACGAAAGCATAAATTATTGATTTTTCTTTTTGTCTTTTGTTTTAAGGTTTTATTTTTTTTTTTTAAGTGTTGAAAAATAATACACATTTTACGATACGAAGCAAAACAGGCTTTGTTATGCAATCTACAAAGTAAAGTGATCATCCGATGGAACAATGCGCAGGGGCACACTATCTCGTCACACGATCTTCGTGCGATAGAAGCCGTGTTCAAATTAGATTTAACCGTGTTTAAGTTGATAGAGGCGTGCCATTCATTAAAGATGATTTCACAACGGCTCGGAACGCGTCGCCAACAATGTTTAACGTCAACAACACATGTCGCACATTCTCACACGCAACGCTCGTGTGTGTGTCCGAAGGAGAGACATCGAGAACTCTAAGTTTCTTCTGCGTGTGATATCGGGCTGCCTCTATCGGAATCTATATAGACACAGTCTAACTAGAAACGGCGTCTCCGCGTCTCCGAACGCAAATCCCTGACTACGCGCGCGCGGCGTAT